GGCCCGTCCTGCCGGGGAAGAGAGCCCTGCGCCCCCTCTCGTCCCCGAAGGGGTGCCCGCAGGCCAGGCTGGGTCGGGCCGCTGTGCATGTGGTTACCCAGTCGGGAGGAGCCGGGGGAAGGCTTTAACAGTCAGCGACGAGAGGTCTGCAGGCCCGTGCGCTGGCCGGTGGTTGTCCTTCGGGATATTAAAGAAAGTGCAGACAGAAACGCCATGTGTTGGGTCCTCCTTCAGTTTTTTCCAAGCCAAAATACGGGGATTTCAAACCGCGGTCAGGCTAAAGCACCTGCGTTGGAAGTCAGGCCTTCAGCTTTGAGTAGGGCGTCTGGCAGAGCAGATACCGGATGCTTAAATTAGTAACGTTGCAGCTTTAGAACTTAAAAACTCCAGAATTTATAAACTCTCAAAGTCTGAGCCTGTTTAAAACACTGCCTTGGTGGGATTTAATAAGAAATTGGATGCAGTGTCTTCAAATGTGTTTTACCTGCCCATGAACTTCCTCGTTCTTCCCTGTTGTGGTGTTAGTTGAAGTAAACCACTTCTGCTGGCATGGCAGCAGAGAGAGAGGGCTTGCACCGGTCACCTGCCGCTTCCAGGAACTGCCAGTCCAAAAAAAAAACATTTGTGCGGTTATTTTTCTAGCATTTTCCAGAACTGTTCACTCCTCCTTTTGACTGACTTTTCCTTTTGACTGACTTCCTGCTTCGGTTTAACAAAACGAGTCCGCTTCGATTTAGTGAGAGTAATAAAAGATAATGAAAAAACTTTGGAAATCCCATATGCTCGGTATGCTTTGATGGGTCCCTAAAGCACTGTAGTAGGAGGAAGTCAGGACTGACTAAAAAAAAAAAAAGGAAACCTGTGAACAGCATGTTTGAGTATGGAAAATAATACTAAGTCTTTTAGAGAAATTACATCATTTTTATCACAAGCCCTTCCAATCTTGGACAGTCCTGTTTTGTATATTGATTACGTAGGTAAGTATTGGCAGACTGTGTATTTCAGAGGTGAATATACATCATAAAATAGGAGGTATTTAGATTGTCCAATTACTCTTGAGTTCACGCAGCCCAGAGGAGATGTTTTATTAGAGATTTGAGCAGTGCTGAATAACAATACCGATGATACAAATCTATCTTTTAATTCATCACTTTAAGCTGGGGGGAGAGCATTTACATGTGTGTAGCGGTCATTAATAAGAATGGATGCAGTGTCTTCAAATGTGTTTTACCTGCCCATGAACTTCCTCGTTCTTCCCTGTTGTGGTGTTAGTTGAAGTAAACCACTTCTGCTGGCATGGCAGCAGAGAGAGAGGGCTTGCACCGGTCACCTGCCGCTTCCAGGAACTGCCAGTCCAAAAAAAAAACATTTGTGCGGTTATTTTTCTAGCATTTTCCAGAACTGTTCACTCCTCCTTTTGACTGACTTTTCCTTTTGACTGACTTCCTGCTTCGGTTTAACAAAACGAGTCCGCTTCGATTTAGTGAGAGTAATAAAAGATAATGAAAAAACTTTGGAAATCCCATATGCTCGGTATGCTTTGATGGGTCCCTAAAGCACTGTAGTAGGAGGAAGTCAGGACTGACTAAAAAAAAAAAAAGGAAACCTGTGAACAGCATGTTTGAGTATGGAAAATAATACTAAGTCTTTTAGAGAAATTACATCATTTTTATCACAAGCCCTTCCAATCTTGGACAGTCCTGTTTTGTATATTGATTACGTAGGTAAGTATTGGCAGACTGTGTATTTCAGAGGTGAATATACATCATAAAATAGGAGGTATTTAGATTGTCCAATTACTCTTGAGTTCACGCAGCCCAGAGGAGATGTTTTATTAGAGATTTGAGCAGTGCTGAATAACAATACCGATGATACAAATCTATCTTTTAATTCATCACTTTAAGCTGGGGGGAGAGCATTTACATGTGTGTAGCGGTCATAGGTCAACGTCTGGTTGTCCTCGTCAACTTCTCTAGTTCACCAAACTGATCTCCACATGCCATACAAATATTGACAGGGTGGGTCCAAGGTGGTGTCGAAGGCGAAACGGAGAGTACATGACTGTGACTCACAGGAGAGAGGGAAGGTATAAAAGCGTTAGTTTTTGCCGCTTGAAAGCTATTATCATTGAAGACTCCTTGCTAACAGACCTGCGGTAAGTGAAGTACAGAATCATTCTGTTATGTCACATTGGGGATAAACATGATGGAAGAAAATCAGGTTTTGGTGGAAAATAATGAAAGAAGAAAAAAAAGTCTATTAAGCATCAGTGAGCTAATCCTAAAGCGATGAGGTATCTATCAACGGGAAATACTTAATGCTTGCACTAACGGTGTTTTATAAGAAAAGGTGCTGTGAAGTACTTTGTCATTGGACTGGTAGTGCATACTTAACAGGGATGGTATAAATTGTTTTTGTTTTTCTGAAAATTTATTGTGCTGGCAAAAAGAAAGGGAATCGGCAATATGAGATACCAGATTTTCATTTACGTTTTGTTTGCATTTATGTGGGGTGAAGGGTGCTTATTATTTTTTAAAACATGAATAAATGCAACTAAGTTACATTTTCATATATGCATATATATACACACACACACGTGCATGTACACTCTCCTTACTACAGTGCTGTGCTTCAAAAGTAGGTTAAAAGGACGACTTCTTTTTTTCCCTCAGAAGAGGAGACCTTCTGGAGCTGAGGACATGGAGGATGGTTTGTATCTCTTTGCTCTGGTTAATCATCTCAATATAGTCAACTGAAACGGGCACATCTCTTCAGCTTCAGGAAATAATTCAAAAACAAGACATCACAACTGAAGTTTGACTACTTCTTTGTAGATAGAATGAGCTGCAGGAGTTTAACCACAGCACAGAGCTTTTCTTTGAGTATTAGTTTCTGTGGGGTTTATTAGATTTGTTATTTGCATGGTGGTAATGCTTTATGGCTGTTAACCAGCTCAGTGTTGCTTAACGATAAGCGGTGTGCTCCTTTGGCAACACCAGCACAAACCTTTCTCCGTCTCACTCCAGTGTATTTTCTGACAGTTAATCTGTATGTGCGGTATACAAACAAATATATGTCTTCTATATTTCTATGTTTTCCATTACCCAAATACTCTGCCTTCATTCCCCGTATTACCAAAAGTGCAGCAATCAACAGTG